AAAAGTATTATAATGAAAAATATTAAAAATATCGAAGAAGACAATGATGATGATGAAAATACTCGTTATGATGATAAAGAAAATAATGAAGAAGAAGAAAATGATGATGACCAGTTGTTTGAACCTGATACAAGTGATATTATAAATTCAATAGATGGTACTAATACATTACAAGATAATATTAAACAATTAATAGAAGAATTAAATTGAATAAATATTAATAAATGATTGATGTGTTTAATTGATTTAATTCAACACTTCTGAATGTATCAAATATTGAATGTATCGAGATTTTACAACAAATTGAGTAGAAGGATTCTTTGGTTATTTAAAAAAAATAATTAATCATAGTAATCTTCCTTTATATTTATTAACAGACAATATTTATGCAATTGGAAATACAATGTTTAATAATATAATTATGATTGATCTTCATGATGAAATTATAGATAAGAATGATCTTCATTTTAAATTATTGAATGAATTTTCAAAGAAAATCTTAAAATCACAATATAATTTATTAAATAATAAAGTATTATGTGATGAGATTCAATATTGTATTAGTTGTCAAATAAGAAGTGTTAATCATAAAGTAGCATGGTATTGTTATCATTTGATGAAAGAAAGAAAAAATATGTCATTAAAATATCTTATTAATTATGATGACCTTCCATCATTTGCTTTTAAATCAAAACAAACTAGAATAAATTGGACTGATAAATCTATTTCTAATATTGAATTACCAAAGAGTTATAGTTTGATAGGAAATGTAGTTGTAAATAAAATGAAACATAATACAAATGTACATCAAATGAATAAAGTTGAATTTAGGAAAAGAAAATCAAAAGAACTATTTTTTAATGAAATTGAACCATTTCAAATGAAGAAGTATGTAATTAGTGAAAGAAGTAAAAATGATGAAGATAAAATAATTAATGAAGATAATGAAATTATTGAAGAAGATAATGTTGAAGAAAGAATGTCATCAATTCATTCACATAATTCTATCATTAAAATATCTCAAAATGAAATATATATTAATGAAATACATGAATATGATAGTATATTAACAGAAGAAGAATTTGAAAAGATAATGAAAACATTTAATGTTCCACAAAAATGTATGTTATGTGGAATATCAAAGAATAATAATATATATCAATTACAATATAATATTAAAGAAATAGAAACAATTATATTCCCATTTTCATCAAAAAATAAATATGGATTAATAGCATATGTTAATAAAATTAATATAATAGGAAAAGAATGTGTAGTACATATTAAATATGGAAATGATAAATATCCAGTGTTTATGAGATGAATGAATAAACAATTAATGAAAGTATTAGAATTAACAAATGATCAAATAATTTATTCTATAAAAATTGATGAATGTATTGGACAATTAAAACATAATCGTTATATAACACTTTTCTTAATAGAATCTTTCTTAATGAAAAGAAGATGATATAACAAGACAATCAAAGAATCTGAGAGAATATATTTCAATAGAAAAAATGATAGAATCATTCAAATGTTATAAAAATTAATCTTAATTAATTTTAATAACAACAAATATCTTTTTTAAAAGTAAAATAATATGAATAAATAAAAGTACAATATGTTATAGAAGTAAAATACTTTAATGTAAATTAATTTGTTCTAATTTTTAAACTGATATTTTTAGTATGAAAATATCAATCAAATTATTTAAATTATCAAATATGTTTTCAATATAAAATTTATTCAGAATGTATATGTTAAAATTTATTATATTTTTAAACTAACATAAATCTAAATCCATATTTGTCATCATATCATATTTTGCACTAATAAAAATCTATCAATATTCTCTTTTCAAATTATTCTATCTTCGAACAACTGAAGTGATTATTCATTAGATTTTTCAATAATTCTTGTAAATATGAAGAAATATTAAAAAATTATTTATGTTGTATAAAATTTTTTGAACAAAAATAATCAAAAAACAATTATAGCAAATTATTTTCTAATTGAATAATTTACCATAATTGTTTTTGATTGTATATAGAATTGTTCTATTACCATTTCTATTGTTCTTTCATCAAAAATATAAATCTTCAATTGTTTGTCATTCATTTAATTTTTCATTAATATTGATAATTTAAATAATAATAATCAAATCAAAATAAATAAAAAGGAGATAATTAAATGTTAATAATTTTATATTATTCATTATTCAATGTAGATTATTTGTTTT